GAAACTGTTGGAGGTGGAGGGCCAGCTCCTGGGAGCGGAATTGCGAGGGGGCAAGCACACATTCTCTACCGCTGAACAGTTCCCCGGAGTTTCTGTAGCGGCTCGCTTGCTCAGTTCTGCCGCTCCACGTTTCCTTCATACCTGGCATTTTCAGGTTTCGTCACTTTTCCCTGACCAAGCGGCTGTGTTACTCCACGTGACCCTCTTCAGCACGTCCCTGAGCTTGAACATGTTTTCATGTTGTTTTGGCCATTGACTCCGCAATTGCATATGCACACTACAGTTTTTCACTCTTAGGCACAAAGCATATATGTATTCTTCATATCTGTGCTGAATCCGGAGCTTCTGAGGAGAATATAGGTCATGGGTCTGCCACACCCCGTGATTCTGCAAGTGGCCCGCACGGGAAAAGCTGCCCCTTTCTCTGCCAGTTTCCCACCGTCCAGTGGGGGTCGCTATAACCCTGGCCTCGCAAGGCTCAGGTGGTTGTTAAATAAGATCGGGTTTGTGAAGTGCTTACTGCAGTGCTTGATGCACTACCCAGGGAACACTGTATTTTTTTTTTTTTTTTTTTGCGGAACCAGGGTTTGAACTCAGGCCCTTGCGCTTGCCAGGGAAGTGCTTATTCTACTGAGCCATCTCCCCAACCCCTGTTGTTTTCATTTTTATGACTGTTTTACACACACACACACACACACACACACACAGTCTCACTTTGTAGTCCAGGCTGGTTTTGAATTCTCTATGAGGCCTAGGCTGGCCTCGAACTCAGTGATTCTTCTGCCTCAGCCTCCCAAGAACTGGGATTATAGGTGTGCACCACCACATCTGGCTACTCAGACGTCTTAAAATGACTCAAATGCATTAAGTTTTGGGTTTTGTTTGTTTTTTAAAGGAGGAGAGGTTTATCTTAGCTTGCAGTGTGTACAAGTTTTATTCCCTAGTCGGCCGGCTCCAAGTGCCGTCTTGACGTGGGGCGACGATGCAAGGCAGATTCAAGAGGTGCCCGAGGAAACCAGTGTCAGCTGGCCCCAGTCACTGCCTCGCAATTGTCACAGCCTAGGGGGCTGGTGTTCTGAGCATTCCGCTGATACATAGCTGCGGTAGTCATGTGAACTGAACTGGGAAGGTTACTTTAGGTTGTTGGGAGAAAAGTAAAATAAAAACTAAGAGCGAAGAGCCCCATTTACAGCTCTAGGAATCTGACTTCAGTTACAGCCGGGTTTAGGGGTTTCGTGCTCCCTGCCTGCCCTCTCACCAACGTTTGTATCTGCTTCCCTGGAGCTACTGGCTGGGCAAGGTCACCGGGCTAGGGCAGGTTAAATGAGGGCATCCGGCCGGAGGAAGCCCCGCCCATTCCAGAGGCAGCCCCGCCCCAGTCCTCTGGCTCAGCCCGAGGGGTGTGGCCAAAGGGTTTGGCCAAAGGGTGTGGCCGGGGTGTGGCACTTCGATTGGCAATCTGGATGATACGGATGGGGGGGCGGAGAGGCCTTCCAGGAGCCACGTGGCTTCAGAAGGAGGGTCTCCCGCGAACCCTCAACATAATGAGGGTGCTGATTTCAAGAAAAGAGAGCTCTGGTGGGCTTGTAAATGGTAGGCTCTTAAAACAGCAGTTACTACTGGGTGTGGTGACGCAGGCCAGTAATCCCAGCACTCTGGGAGGCTGAGGAAAAAAAAATCGAAATTTTGAGCCAGCCTGG